CTTCACATTCATATATTTTATCTTGCTGATATTTATATTCCCATACATAAAATTAATCTATTATTATCAGCGCTGGGAAATAAACAAATGTATATAAATGCTTGTGTGGTTGACCTAGAAATAGGCGCAGAAAATTGAACTTAATCCACTCATTCATTCATGGAGCATTCTATATTGAAGACTGTCAGTCCAACACTAATTTCGGCGAAGATTTGAACCGAATACCAACGGAATTTGAATAGGAGTGCTAACCACTACACCTTATCACCTTGTGAAGTGCCCTTTCTGTATGAGATCTGAGGTTCTGACGGCTTTGAAGATACCGATGTTAGCCGTCCTGTTAGTAGCGCCGTCCAACATGTTCTTGTACCCAACTGCGTTAGAGCCCAAAAGACCAATGTCGATAAGTTTTCTTGCTAGCAGATAACTGCTGTGAAATATTACCTTACACAAGTTCCAGTGATTCTGTTTGACGTCGCTAGGTTCTATTTTTAACGCTAATTGGTCGAACGTGCTGAGTGCTTGGACTTCCGTTTACTGTAGAGCAGGGCAAACGCAGACAGAAGGGGTTTATTTTCAACCAGCCGTGTAAGTATTTGGTCTACATCATGTGGTTTCTTTTCACACGGGACGTACTAAACTTGAAAATTAGAATTTCCTGTTCATTATTCCCCATTCATTTTTCTTTTATTTCCATTAATTTTGTAGAAATTCATATAGAGCGTTTTCCACGACTTCGCCAAATCTCACCTCACTTTCTGACAGAAGGAACACACACACCGAGCAGAATAGTATAGCGATTGCCACCTAGACTCTCAAAACACAGCCGAACTACCGACGATTATGAACGCAGCTTTTCATAGATTTTCTTAATATCTTCATCAAAATGAAGACATAATGGCGTCGGATAAACCCTGACGCTTCAATTTTGAATGCCACGAAATGTTTAATGCTTTTTAGTGTCTGTGTCGATTATTTGCTGGACGTTACATACTTCCCTTGTGACATTTCGTAACCTGCTGTTTATTACGACAGTAGCTTCGCTCTTCTACACAAAGTTCTTTGCCAGCTTTCCAAAAATTCCCTTCCAACATTTTCCATTTATCTACCCTTCTTGTACCTGTAGATTGTAATTAACCGTTGCAATGACACTTGAGCAACTTTATGCGTCACAAAGTTTAGTAACGTATAGAACATGTTGATCGTAAAGCCTGAAGGAAAATATAGAGTTGTTAACTGGCTGAAAACCGAACAGGATGCGGTCCAATGTGAACAAGGCAATTAAACCTTCACTTTACACACAAGAGGCGAATAAAATGTGACCAGCTAAGCGAGCACCACTTTCTGAAGGAAGTCTCCCTACCGTGGAATAGTGAAGAATGAAAATGAAATATTTTGGTCTGAACATATCAGGGGCCATTACATGAACTGCATTTACAAAAAGTAACATGCTCTTTTCTTGTGTCCATATCAGTTGAATATGAAAGTTGTCCTCCTCATGCTTCTGTACTAGCTCATCAAGTCTTAGTGAGAGGCTGGCTCCGCAGGTATCATTTCGGGCAAACTCGAAAGATTTTCTTTTGTTCTACAGCTTCCATTGAATGTATTTCCCTCGTTTTAGGCAGCATTCAAACCAGCGAACAGATTTCGTTCAGAGTTATATGGTAGACGTGCAGATAATGCAATCGGAACTAATTTAATTTGTGTGAATTTCGTTTTAAGGCAACTTTATTCCGACCTTTCAACTTTGCGTATACAAGATTATTTGCAGTTCTTTAAAATGATATGAGACTCGATACAAAGACTTCTGTTACAGGAGTATCTTTAGTATCGTGTATATGTTTCGTTCTATTTAATTCACTTAGGCCTATTATTAGAGTTTGACAAATTTTATTAACCAAGAAATTCAGCACTTCTGTTTGAATGCTGCTAACCATCAGTTTAAAAACAAAGTACAGAGATTCAAGGGGAAAACAAGACTCACGTCTCAAGGGCACTTTCCCCCTTGTTCTTACCAAAATAAATTATAATGGTGAACGCATTTATGTTGGCCTGAAGGTAGAAGTGTCACACTTTTTATTTAATTACTTTATAATCTTATTTGAAGTATTTGAAAGTGTCTTTCCACGTCTTTCATCAGTTGTGTTGTAGTGCAGTAACACAAGTTAGGTTCTGTGGGTTTAATCGTATTTTATGCTTTGTGTATTCATTTCGACCCTTTAATATTATTAATGAAATATTTATGAAATGCACAAAAATGTTTATATATTTCTTATATGTTGCATGGCCAATGTTGAATTTCGCTAAATTTCTGCTAATTCGTTCACAACAAAAATACGCTGCTTAAGATTTCAGGTTCTCACAGCGACGAGTGTGACAATGGCTGTCTTCCGAGATGCTGCAATGTATAGTCTGGTTGATATTGACCGACATTTCAGAAAAGCTGACCCAACGATGGAGGCAATAACCTTTTCTGACTCATCGGTCGCTATCTGCCAGACTACGCTGGGTAACATGCCAGAAGACAGCCATCTTCAGTAATGTGCTCGTTTAATAGTTCGGAACTGCTACTCAATGGTAATGAAATGCTCTAGGAAGAAATTGGCAGTGTCCCAGGACCTGAGATTCAGGGAGTCTTCAAAGTTATGTTAACGATTTGTATAGTTTATTATAGCTGTTTGTGTCACAGGTGATATATGAGACCCTCGTTGCCTTAGACCACTTTAACTCTCAGATCGTGGTTTGGAATCCCACATAAAGAAGGATGATGAGGCTTCGAGCTGCCATACGTAATCCTGTGCCTGTCCAGGCCTGAAGCAGACTGCCGGTTCGCCTCATCAGATAGTTTTGAGAAGCACTGGTCTAAACCACCCACAACTCGAATATAAATGTAGCCTTACACCTTGGGTACGGAAAGAGATCCTTACAGACTTGCAGAAAATTAAGATGCGAGCATTAATTTTATTTAATAAAAGTTGTGTGTGTCGTATAGGTGGACATTAAATGCTAAGAATACTACTTAGAAGTATAGAATTAACGTTATTGAAGTAACGATGCAGTTTTATGGACAGTTACATAGAAAATTATACGTGTAAAATTGTGTTTCATGTTCTGTAGAAAATGTCATTTTCTTGTCTTAGTCAAGCATCCGTCGGTAGGAGTGTCCTCGAAGAAGAGCCTTAACCTCAGGCCTGAAAGAAGGAAAATCTGTTAAACGTTTTCTTGCATTACTTTAAAGGGTGGTGGTATTTTACCAACAAGGAGTCCCTGATCGGAATTTTTAAACAAATTATTTTGCTGAAATGGTTTCCTGGTTGTTGGATCTTGTGAACCTCAAGTAACGTAGTAACACAATGGTACAGCCTAACACATAAGAGGCTAGAAGTGTTTAATGTGTAGAATAATTATTTTGGTCTTTGTTCATAGTTTACTTATAAGTGTCATTTACATTTCAGACAGAAAATGTTCTAGATGTGAATCAATTATTGCCACAAACCTTCAGACAACATAGCCTTTGTTATTAATTAGGTTAACAGATTATGATTTGTATAGCACGTGTTTTTAATAGCGTAGTATTTATGTTGCGTCAAAATTTTTTCGACTTATGGATAATTAAATCAGGAAGGATATGTAGAGAGGTAGCAGTGATCTGTTTCAGGGTACTGTCCCATTATTTTGTTTGAAGAATTCAGGTAAAGTGTTAAAAACCTTGAAAATATCTGTCTTCTGGTTTGTTGCGCTGTGTAGTCTGGTAGATGTTTACCAACGTTTCAGAGGTCATACTGCCTTTCGTGTGGTTAGATCCTAGAAAATTTAAATGAAAGTTTTCAACTAGGGGCCACAGCTGCAGTAGAACTACCAGAGTTCTTCCAGCTCTGATTAAGATACGTACACTTTGATGTTTGTGTACAAGGTAGCTGACAGCGTCAGTGGGCTGAGAAGGGAAGGCAAAGTTCACAGCGCAGTTCCGTTTCCGTTTAAGTTCAAACTTACGGGTGATCTCTGCAGCCGATCGATGTCGAATCATTCGGACAGTCTGGTGGAGGAAGACAAATTGCATCATGGTCCACCGTCTGGCGACTGCATACGTTTCAGGGCATGACTGGCATTTGTGACCAACTTGTTGATTGATTAATTTTGCACCAGCATAAGATCACTTTGTAATGTCACGAAATGTTTAAGATGCTTTTTTTACACCAGTTATAATGTGCGCGTGACTCACTTTGCTCCCGTGTGGCATTTCATTAACTCCCTTTGACAGAACTGCCTTCTCTTTTGTTAAAAAACATTTCCTCACTTTAATCAATTATTTTGCAATACAAATTAAGGTGTAATAATTTTATCGTATTTTATATGAAGCCCTGCGTATTTAGGTGTATAATTTTAGTGGTCAGATCGTTGTAGAGTTCGCCACAATAATGAAAATATTTTATTGTAGAGTTTGCCACAAAAATGAGAATTTCTTAATACATCGCGTAGCCGTTGTTAAATGTGCTAAATTTATGCCAACTCGGTCGCAATAGAGGTATGCTGGGCGAATTTTGAAGTTTTCACAGCGACCTCTATGAAAATAGCTGTCTTTAGAGGTACTAGACGGATATTGATCGACGTTTCAGTGGAGCTTGCCGTCTCCATCATCAGCTTCTCAGTATTTACCAGAGTACGCGGTGAGATTTCCCAGAGCGCAGCCATGTTCTATAGCGTTGCTGCTGTGACGGTCCATAACCGTGACGTAAGTAACGAAATGTTTCGAAGTAACTTAGTGCCGACGTGGGACCTGAGATTCGGGGAGGAGGGGGGGTCTTCAGAGTTATATAAACGTTCTTCATAATTAAATATAACTGCTCTTATCACTGATTTATAACAAGGCTCTCGCTGCCTTATATGAGTCGAAAACTGGGATCATGGATAGGAATCTACTTCAAACATGGATCAATCTCCGCGCTGCCATACGTAATGTAGGTCCAAAAAAGTTAAAATCCACTCAGTGGTCTTTCGAATTGTTTTTACCATCCTTTGTTAAATTTATTCTTTAGAACAAAGCATATATACAATTTAAATATAAATATAAAATTTGCCTTTAAACTTTAGGTGGCACTGTACATGTTAGGTTGTAGTTCTATAGCAGGCTATACAAGATTGTACTTTACCGAAAACAACACGATTTAGGGCTCATAGGTTGTTTAATTATTAGTTGTTTCAAATTTATTCGTTTCTTCTCTCTCACTTTGTCTTTCTCTCTCAGATTTGCTCTCCTAATAGATCCGACTTTTAAACTGAAAACTTTGGGTTTTACTGTGAGAAATGTTTAATTAAAGTAATAATAAAAAGTTCGCATTTCGATGAACATGTTAAGAATGTAGCCATTAGTCCAGAGGATGGATTATTTCCGCATTACAAAATATGCTGAACCAGAAAAGTTTTAACACAAAGCTAATATAGCCCCAGAACTCACCTCATGTTATAAAAATTTATATTTTTCATTAAAACAAATTTATTAAAATAAAGCCCAAACGCTTGAGGCAAAGACAACCACAATTTAAGCATAAATGTCGCCTTAACGTTAGGTAGTTATTACAGAATGTTAAAGTCTTGAAGAAAATTAAGATGCGAACATTAATTAAATTTCATATAAGATATGTGTGATATACAGACGAATATTAAGAATATAATTAAAAGTTTATAATGCACGTTGTTGAAGACAGGGGACAGTTATGTAAACAGTTGCATGCTTTGTCATTTAATTATGCTTCATATTCTTTAGGGAATTTCGGCTTCACTCTCGTGTTTTATTCAAGCATCTCCGTAGGCCTGTCGTCGAAGAACATGCATAGGACTGGAAAAAAACAGAAGAAAGTCTTAACATTTTTATGCGACATTATTAAAGGGAACATGTCTATAAAGAATACGGAGTTACTTTTCGGAATTTTCAAACAAATTGTTTGCGTGGAAAGTTTTCTGCGTGCTGGACTATTTTGAATCTCGAGTAACAATCTAAGTCAGGGGTACAATGTAACATATGAATACTAGAAAAGTGTACTTTACATGTGTGCATACTTCCCTAATTCTAAATTTAATGCTCTATGGACATTGATGTTAATTTACTTCAGATGAAGGTGTATTTTTGTTGTACTAGCTATACACATTAAATTACAAAATATTTTCTTATATTCTTAAATATTGATAATATTCTAAAACGTTTCGGATTGCAGTTTGTGACCATAATGAATCGAGAAACAGGGCCATCGATAACTGAATGAAATACCTGCTGTAGTATTCAAACTCCCTTGGACACCTTTCAATATTAGACTATTTAAGCCTTGCCTTTGAACTGGTTTTAGAGGTTTCCTTAGGAGAAAGCCTTCTAAGTATCTTTGCTTGTCCATTAATATACTTGAAGCAATAGTGAGTCCTTAATTGTTCTCAAAGGGCCAATGTTACGTAGTGTAACGTAATATAATTTTAAAATACTTCTTTCCGTCAGCAGCAGCGAATTAAATTTGATACTGACTTGCATCAAGCGCAGTTTGAGTTTTTAAGGTCCAAAGTTCTTTAAATATGGTCTTGGAATGCTCGAAAATTGGGGTTTATATTCCTGCTTGGCTGATGAATTTTAAATATAAGAAGGTAATCACTTAAATATATTTTTTTATTCTATCTCAGGGGCATTCTTTTACACTTTAAAGAAATAAAAGTAATATCTGTAGCATTTCGTGTATTACTATTATGGAAAATGAGTATCTGCAGCCGTTGTATTTTGGTAGAACGGAATAAATTTGGTACGTTTCTATTCAAATATGATAAGACTACTTTTCGACTTTTAAAATCAAATATTATTTTTATCGTTTTGGGAAGTTGTCTAGAATTTTTTTTATTAGTTTTCTCACCTAATTAAATCAGTTTGTCTAAGTTCAAAGAAAATTTTTAAGTGATTATAATCAAATATCTCATGTTTATAACAAATATCTAAGGTGATGAACTTCACATAAAGTTGCCGTGTGATCTTCGTGTTAACACTGTTAAACCAGTAACCAATTCGGGGGGGGGGGGGGCCATACTGTAATTAATACTATTAAATACCTCTACATTTCCCGTCTTCTTAGTACTCCACACACAATACAAAGTTCATTGACTGACATTTGCTCTGTCTAAGAAACCCAACCGAGTAAGTGCTGGTACTCTTTCATCTGAGGTCGGAAACGAAGTTACGAAAATGATCTGTTCTCTTCGGAATATAAAATAGTGGATAAAGTACAGAAATCCACTGATACTAACAGCATAATTAGTGTTTTACTGTTTTAGTATGGTTATTATTGTCGTGGTTCCAAAAATTGTCTGTATAGATTTGATGGTCAGGTTGAAACAATCTTGAGTATACTATGATCCTGTCTTCACAAGTAAGTCGGGACCTGAAACATAGAATTAGGAAATAACTTTTCAAACAGAAATTCAGTAAACATTTTATGAATTTCCGTTAGCTCTCACTCTTCTTTACGATAATGAAACATAGATGTTATCAGAGTTTAATGAATCAATCTATATTACACAATTAGCGTAATATATATGAAAATATCTAGTAGAGAGACACGATGTTAATGAACACGAATGTTTTAGCCACAATGAGGATTTAAACTAAGATGAATTACAGTCGTAAAATTTTTAATTTTAGTTTGTCATGAAGATTATACTCTTAACATTTTAAGCAATAACTGAAATTTGATAATAACTCAATAAATGTTTGAGTTTCATTAAAGCTATACAATTTTTCAAGGACGACTTCGCGGAAATTTCAACTTAAATTGAAAACCTACATTTTTAGACATATTTAAACCTCTAATAAATCCGATCCATCTATGTGCTCCGTTTCTGCAAGTTCGAATATAAAAATCATTGAATTTCCTGTAGAAAAGTGTGCATTTGATTTATGTAATTTGTTTGATTACTGCAGACTTACCTGTTCAGAAATATAGGTCCACGACTTTCACAATTTTCACCTGTTACGCCGACAAAATTACAGGTACACAAAGTTGTTTCCAATTGTAGTAAACATCGTGATATTGAAATCTGTAACGTCACTACTGATTTACTCCATGTAACATTGCCCATTTAAACTTTATCACTTCTACTTTGAAGTAGCTAATAGGCCATCCAGTACAAACGCTTATATGTTTATAAGCCATAACTATAGACAGTATTAAAACGTTTTATTTAAATTTTTCAGGGAAATTAAATTCTTGAACAGCACTATATTGTGTAAGTTATAAATAATTTTAAAAAGCCTTCAATGTCTTTATAATAACTAAATAAGTAAGTACATAAGTTTAAAATCCGAAGTCAAAAATGGTTTCTTCTTAAAATATTCCAAGTTATATTCATGTATATTGTTCCTTAAACTGTACGCATATAAGAATGTTATCGAAAACTATAAATGTTCATTCTTGAAGTGATGCATCATAGATTTGTTTGAAATTTCAAAATATCCTTGTATGTCTATTTCTTGTAGCATCCGAACGATAGAAATTATAGTCAGAACGCAAATAAATAGCGAAATAAAAACAAACTTTGTGATATCCGACAGTTGTAGAAATTTTTGTATCAGTTCCAAAGCTAACGTGATAAACAAAGCAACTATTACAGCTGACAATATGTTCAATTCCATTTCGATGTCCGTGTAGCTAAACTTCTTGATTTTAACTTCTGTTCTATCACTAAACTTCTCTGCTTGCAACAGACTACACTGTCTATTCAAAATCAAAGAATTCCACCACCGAACTACTGCTAACTGAAGGTAAGGGTATTTCTTCTGAAGTAGGGGATGGCTTTAACTCCTACCCCCACCCTTCGTCACCTTCTATTTCTTTGTAGACGAATCTGATTGGATTTTGATTTCATTACGGAATGATGCAGCCACTTATGTTTCAAGATACGTCTCACTCTAAAAAATAGAGAGGATGCTTTCTCACTTAGTTTTAAAACTTCTGAATCATGAAGATCACGACTATCTTCAAATAGGTAAGTTTCCAGATAACTATAACTTTAACTTTAATACAATGGTTAACGATTTCTCCGGAATCGGCATTTATTTTTACAAATACGTAAATATTTATGTATTGCCAAATGAAGTCATTGCTTGATGCAGACGTTAGTGACTGGCTTTTGACAACTACGCATTTGTACACTCTTTTCCAATTGAAGGTTCCACGTTCGAATCTGAAGATTAGACAATTTTATCTCCTCCTCCAATTTAGTTTCAGTCTTTTGACTCCCACACGCTTTCTGTATTTGTTATTGTCCCTCGTCGAAAAAACCTGACCTCAAGTCTTTATACTTGTGTCGCTGTTTTGATTCAGATTGTCCAGTGATTGAGAGTAGCTTCTCCTATCGGACCGAACAGAATAGATGTCCCTGCCCCATACACGGGAAGACGAAAATGGACCCTGTTTTAGAAATGTCGTGTGCATTTTAACCTTGGACGATGGACAAAGTCCAACAACCTAAGAAGCCCGACCATAGACAATTTTATTTTCAACAAATGTATATTCGCAAGCGTTTTCAATATACTACTCATGCAGAACATGACTTAGTATGTTGGCCCGTTGTATTCAAGACCTGTCTCTTTAATATATCCAGAATCCCCTTGTATCAACCACGGATCTCATTCATGTCGCCATTGAAGCAATTAAAGATCGAACATAACGTTAAGACAAAGCAATTTTGTTCTTAATAGATCGTCTATACCAACTTCATTGCGTTTCGATTGTTGCTTATGCCTTGTTATTTGAGATGTATTATGTGACGACGACTTGGAAAGGCTTTCGTGTAAAATAATACGCATGTCCGTCAGCAGAGCGTAACTACATAAATATTACGTACATACAATACATGTTTTGGCCCTTCGGGTCATAATCAGGCATTTGTTTAAAACGTGTACGTATTTAAGACTTCAAATTGCATACTGATTTCAGCCAAATTTTTAGAAGAGTATGAATCCATGCTTGTGATTGCTTTGCATGCCCTTAAAATGACTAAAATTATATTTTTCATGAAATGTTTTACAGCAGTCTCCTAGTTAAAAATAGATATAATGTGGAAAGAAGTGACGGTTCTTTTAAGGTAATATCTCGGAGGAGATTGCTGGAATAATAGTTCAGGAAAAGAAGCTACGAAGAACCTTAACCATGATAACTGGTAGTAGATGAGATCTGGTTGTGTTAACAGGATATTTCATTAGCATAAATGCTATATAATCAAACGTTCTTCACGTGCCGATAGACCTACCTGCTTAGAAGTGAATGCCCACAGTTTTCATGGTTTTCACTTGGTACACCCACACATATTTCTTTTTCCATCTGTAGTTATCTTCATTTATCTTCACACAGTATAGACAATGTCGTAATCATTGTGGCATTTTAGCCTTCAGTCTTTTCCTCTATGCAGCATTACACATTAAAAACTGTATCACTTCTATTCTTAAATGGTTAATTGGCCAAAGACTTCGTACGTTTGCGCGTGTTTAAATAAAACTTATATAGACAGTATTAAAATGTCTTCTTTAAATACTCATTGATGATAATTTTCAACATCACTAAACCGTGAGGTATAATTGTATTAAAAAGTATTTAATGTCTCTAAAACCACTAATAAAATTTGTAATCCAGATTCATGAATTGCTGTATTTTAAAACATAAGAAGTTACTTTGATTTGTATTGTTCCTTAAAATGTGGGCGTATAAGAATATTATCGCAAATTACAAATCTTTATTAAGATTTGTTAGATACGTTTTAATCTTCTTGCGAGCCTACTTTTTCAATCATGAAGACGATAGCAATAAGAGTGGCAATGTTCACAAATACTCTAAGCCAAAGAAAAGAAATCCTTTCCGGAAAGTGCATACATCTTGTTAACAGATACAACGAAAATGCGAAACACAACCCTGAAAATATTGCTGTAAGAGTGTTTGTATTCTCGTCCATGCTGCTGGAGTTCTTGGTTTTCCTGTCCGCTTATCACTCGCTCTTCCCGATTGCGGTAGACTACGCTTCCAGGTCGAAGTCAAAGAGTTACGTCTGAATGTAAAAGTAGTTTCTGAGGCGGCAGGAGGGGGGGGGGTAGGTTTTACTTTCATCCCCACCAATCGACAATTATTTCTTTGCAGACGAATTTGATTTGGTTTGTGGTTTCATTACGGATTGATACTGCCAGTTTCAATATGCCAAACACTGAAAAATGGAAAAGAATTCGTTCCTCCGTTAGTTTTACCAGTTATAACAAATACAGTACTACCTGCGAGACATGCATGACACCAAAGTCTGGATCTACTTGGGCGAATTTCCAAATATGTAAGTTTCCAGATAAAACGTGAACGATACGTTCAACGTTAACGTCTGCTCCATTCAATTTTTAATTCATAGTTAATGATCTGTTGCCAAAATAATTTATTTGATTATCCTCAATATACTGAATATCTTTCTGTGTTTGATACGGTGTCGAGAGACTTACCTGCTCATTAAAGGTGGCCCACGAATTTTGTGATCTTCTCTCGTACATTTATAATTAACTCACAGACAAGTTACTTCTATCTGACGTTCTTTACATCATCTTCCACACGGTATGTATGTCGTCAATATTATGAGATTTTAGTCTTAAATATTTACCTCTGTGCAGCATTACGCATTTAAACTGCCATCACTTCCATTTTAAATGATTAATAGGTCGTAGACTGCATGTACTTATATGGGTATAAGTTAGATATATAGTCAATACTAAAACGTCTTCTTTAACTTATTAAATAAAATAAAATTATCCAGGATATCTAAACTGTGTGAGGTATACATGTATTGAAAACTCTTTAGCGTGTTCAAAATTGCTAAACAAATCTGCAATATAAATTTAGGAATTTCTTCGTTTTAAAACATTCAAAGTTACTTTGATATTTACTGTTCCTTAAAAAGTAGACGTATAAGAATATATCTCAAATTATAAAATTTCATCCTTGAAGCGATTCACTGCAGACGTCATTTGTTCTCTTGCCCAAACGGCAACAACTATAGCGAGGTAGTTTAAAATTATTGCAGTCAGGATAAACACGATCCTTTCCCGCAAATGTATATATATTTTTAATAGATACAAAACAAATGCGATACACAATCCAACACATACTGCTGTGAATATGCTTTGACTATCGTCCATGCTGCTGAAGATCTTAATTTTAACTTTGCTCCTACCACTGAGGTCTTCTAGTTGCGATGCACTGTACTGCCTGACCAAAGTCAAGATTTGTACCACCAAATGACTGCTGTCTGAATGTAAAAGTACTTCTTGTTTGGCTTTTATTTATATCCTCACTCCTTGTCACTTATTATGTCCTTGCAGGCGAATCTGATTGGATTGTGATTTTATTACTGATTGGTAGAGCCATTTGTCAGTTTCTAGGTATCTGACACAGAGAAACGAAAGAGAATTTGTCCCTCCTTTAGTTTTGCTTCTGAATTACAAAGATAATCGGAAACTAGTTGGAAGAAATGAATGAGTTTGTATCTATTCCACAAATATTGAACTAAGTATTCAACTTAAACATCAATAAAACGGTTAGGGATTTCTACTCTGTCATTACTCCGAAGTTAATCGCTTTATATTTACCTGATTAAATGATTTTGTTATTTTATGTATTTGTGAACACATTGTTTTAAATTCTTTATGATTGGCGGTTAATGATGTCATTGCATGAATTACGCTTTGGTTGCTGTCTCTAGATAACGTCATAATTTGTATTTACTTCTTTACTTGAGATCTCAAGACTGTCCACTTAGCACCGGGTGCGTCACAATCACCTATGCAAAAAGATATATGCGTTTGACCTGAGTTCGAATGGACTCATTGCACTCATTGCAACCTTGCATTCGTCATGAGTTGGACGTGCAATATTAATACACAAGATGGCGGCTAAGCGCATCAGTCGGAAGTATTGTGCCAGACGAAGATCAACAGGACATAAATACAAGTGAGTGAATTAATCAACCGAGATTCATGGAATGAATTTAAATTCCAAAGCTAACACTTTAATTGATGTGCCATATAATAAATACAGTGCAAACAACGAATAAAACTATTATTTTGTTTATCTAAAACATATAAAATCATGCATACAAACAAAACTGTTTACACTTTGAAAAACCAGTTAGTGCCAAACTCGTTTCTACCTGAAGAGGTCATTATCAGTGTCAAAAACATTTATCTTTTAGTCTGTCTTTTAAATCAAACAATTTATAAGACGATGGTTTGTTATAAAGCGCTGAGCATAAAAAGGTCGCACTTTATGAAACCATACTTCATGTAATACCACGCTGAACGTTTACATGAATTTACATCAGTTACGACTTTCGTGTGCATTGGCATGTAACGTTATCCAAAGGACGGTACTTGCATCACGGAAGATCCGAGTTCGTGGTTCAATGGTTGACACTGCTGTTTCATACTCGGGAGGTTTCGGTTTCGAAACTCGAACACGAAATCGGCGACCTTACAGGTTTTTCATTTGGTTTTCCTCGGTCCCTGTACGTAAATTCTGGGCTAGTTCTTTAAGTAGGTAATATATACTTTTCTCCACATCAGTTCCAATTCATCATTTTCAAATCATCACACCATTCGACGGTACATAAGCAATGAAATTGAAGAATATTTTTTTAAATAAATAATTGGTCGGCAGCTGCACAGTTGATTTCGTTGTTCACTTCCACGTAACTTGACCGCTGAAAGTTGTGTCTTTATTATCAATAGATTTGTAGTTACGTTTTTTCTGTAGTGTGGTACTGACAAATTTGTAGGAAACTTCGTATATAGGAGAAAATAATATGTGCTTTGAAAATGTATTATGAAAATAAGAACGGTTGCGAAGTTAGAATTCGTTAGCATGAAGGCTCGTGAATTATTAATATTGAATATGGAGTTATAAATGAAATTTGTCCGAAGTGTGGTTGGTAAAGTACATCACCAGAAAAGGACAGTATATGTAACGAGAGATCACGTGCTATTGTTCGTTTGATTTGTTAATGGGGTTTACGGTGGTGGATTAAACTGCCTCATGAATAAGTCCATTGTCAGGCTCAGGTATTGAATAGTCGGGTTCTGTTGTCAGAATATGACAGTTACATGTTTAACAATTCATTAACATATTTTTATTTTAGAATATGATTCGCAGATTTCTATAAAATTTCATTTGGAGTGAGCCCAGGTTCAAACGTTAAAATGTCTTTTTAAAGTACTGTTCATATATATGAAATCTAAAAGTTTCACTTTTTTACTTTGTCTGGAGATAGGGATTAGCTCTATATATTGGGCCCAACAGAGTAGGTACCTGAAGACGGAGATAGAGCCCCATCTCTGAAACGTCGTCTTCTATTTTATTGTTTTACTAGACGATGGAAAATATCCAAGGAAATTTTTATTCAAATACTGTTCATATAAGTTTATTGATTGTGTTTTGTAAACAGCAAACGGTAACCTTCTTCTTCTAATGCACCTTAAATTTTGTGCTCATTCGCTAGTCAGTGAAATCTGTGAACATTCAATGAGCAGTATTTAGATACAAGAATATTTTAAATGTGATCGCTGTTTCCTTTTTTTGTTACGCTAGAATATTTCCAATTGGGTGCGGGTCATAACGCTCATATACGACGTGCGAATCCCGCATTGCACAATTCTTGCTGATAATTAGAGTAAATGCAGATGTATGTCAAATGTCAAGTGATGAGTGATGGACACGTTAGTTAGTCTGTTGCTTATGTTTTGGACCTTCGCACTGGTTAATCACGAACTATATTGATTTAGTTGTTATATATAAAGGCTCTTTTCATTAAAAAGCAAAGTAAAGTGAAGTTTGTTCCACTATACGCCATGTAGGCGTTTGGGGTCAGTGGAGGTATAGCTCCTCTCTTCCTTGACCTCAGCACTAGATGGGGGTGAGTGGTCAGCATCACGTCCCGGCCGGCTTTACCCCCAGGAAAGGACCCCGGTACCCATTGTAGAGGAGGCTGGGTGGGCTCCAGAGCCGGTCTGGACGCAGAGGCTAGAGGAAAAATCCTCTGCCTCCGTCGGGGATCCAACCCCGGTCGTCCAGCCCGTAGCTAGTCCCGGCTCATCATTAAAAAGCAAACTCTACTGATTTACTGTATAACTGTAGTTAGGCCGTGTATAAGCTGCTGTAAAAGTCGGTCAAATGAAGTAATTTCTTTACATTGCAAGTGAACTCCAAAGTTAAAAGCGGAATGATCAGAAAAATTTGCATAAATGTAATAGAACCACAAATAGTTGCTTATCCCTTTTTAGACCAATGTGGTAACATTTTTCTTTCGACTGACACTAAAAGTTGGAGTGTAGTAGTGGGTTTCCTGTTTTGTATTGCGGAGTTGTCAGGTTTGAATCTCGGTTAGGATATTTACCTCAAATTTTATGTAGCTAGGTGTGTCGTGGTTTACCCCAGTGTCTAGAAAATGTTATATTAGTAGGCTGTTCATTAAAGTAGGTAATACCGTTTCCACATATTTACTCTTCGAAGCACAATTGAAACAATTATATATATTACCTGCTTCACTATTCAGTAAGTCTGCATTTTGCGTACAGTGTTTTTATTATGGATTTTGTACTTATCTCAGAATAAACAGCAACTATTTACCTACATAGAATTAACCGTATTTACATTTGTATTGGAGACGTGTTGTGTTTTCTTTGAGGTAGTAATTGATATTTTCAATATTAATTAAATAATCTTTTGTGCTTCCGAGAGTTTATGGTTAATGCCAGCTTATGTTCTCAGATGTAGTCTTTTTGCAAACTAAGGCAACAGATACGGCAATATTAAATATACCATAAACCATCTTTTATTTGATTTGCGCTGTGGGAAATACCCAGATATCAGTGAGACGTCATGACGTATGCTCTTCATTCCCCATCTGAAATTCAGTACGTTAAGAGATTGTGTAGTCTGGAAAGGTTGAATAAATTATGAAATGAGGGAAATGTGGAATGGAGGTATGGACTCCAGTGCTGCAGCCTATTGCTGTATTCATATTGAGGGTAATAAAGGCTTCGCGATAAAACTCAAGATCACAGTAAAACCTGGAGTCCCCCGTTTTTGTTGCAGGACTGTTTTATTAATTATGA